ATCTAATACTCAGTAATAAGAACTGCATCTATGTATAATTATAACCAAGTGAAATTGGAATTTCTTCATAGCTGATATACTAAATCGTGATATACCCTATGTAATAGTCATACTACTACGAGGCTTTAGAAATGCATAGAAGACTCTGATGGTTCCTATTTATATTAAATTCATTATAATTATTCTATTATTTCTTTTTCTGCCTAACATGTCCTTAATTTAATTATAGTTTGAGCCTTATTTCAGATTCTTTGGCAGTAAAATTTGACTTTGTTTCAATAATATCATCATTTGCAAAGAGCATAGTGGAACCCCTTGTATTATAGTTTACTGGTTTATTGATTGGTTTTATTTACCGATAATATATAGGCTATAACTTTTTATGAAAATAAAATGATATAAAAAAAAAATATAGAAATAAAAGCACCGCATGCACATGAACATGTGAATCAGTAATTGAATGAAACATTGATTAGTATTTTTGTTGATATTTTGCATGCATGGTTCCAAAGTGTTGCAAGAAAAATCAAGCGATACAATATATCAATTATCAGAACTATAATAGAATAACTGAGAATAAGACGAAAGGGAGAATAGAAAAGGAATTGTAGAAACTGGAGGGTAATTTTATGACAATACGACCCAAAGCAAACTATCTTGAAGAAAACATCTGTAAAAAGTCAACCAATATTCATTTTGTGTTCTCTAACTCTTTATTAATATGTTTACGATGGTCATGGTCATTTCTGTATAATCCAAGGTAGATGTTAAAGAAGTCGATTCCAAATGTATTTACCACTTTTTTGCGGATTCGTCTCTCTCTCTCTCTCTCACTCTCTCTCTCTCCCTTTCTCCTTCTCTCTCTCTCTCTCTCTCTACCTCCCTGTTACTTTATCTGTCTATCTCTTTCATAACCATTTAAAAAATAAATGCTTACTCATCTAAAGATATTACTTCAGGAACCGTTGTATAACATGATTTCGATGTTCTCTAAATCACAGCAGCGTAGTGTGAGTAGACAGACTGCCTGGTAGGAGGGTGGGGCACTATATGGGCGTTAATCCGGGGGATGGGGTATACATCCCCGCCCCACCCCTTTTTGAGCGAGATGGATGATCTGTATACCTTCACTTTTCAACGGAAATGACTTGCAGATCGATGCACATTATGCTGTTCGTGATCATTCATTTCTAAAGCCTATGCATTTAACACTTCAGTCTTTAAGCCTCATTTGAAATTCTAAATCAAAGATTGCTATAATAATCACGGTATAATAACTTTTATAGAAAATCGTTTGCTTCGACCTTTCTCTAGTCTATATACTGTTATGCTATTTACGCGTACCAACGACACTTATTACAGGCATTTTGCTTCAGTGCGGTATTTCGGTTCTCTGATTTATAACAATCTGTAGACAGTTTGAGCACTTCTCTAAAACCAGGAAATATGACTTTAAAAGTTATAATGGATACTTTCGAAAAATGACTTATATCTTTATTTCATGTCATACTTATAAGTAGGTCAAAAAGGCCTTCTTTGGACAAGTCTCTAATAGCTGTACAGCGACTATACAAACACAGTATGTTACATCTGGTGACGAAAAAAAGGACTTACCCAAAGGACAAAATTGAAGAAGAAAAGCAGACATTTTACCACCAGCATGCATCCTCCTCGAACAGCCATCTTGCGTTTCTTTTTCTTGCGACCGTCGCTTCCCAGCAGATTGTGACGCCCGCCTTTGCCCGAGGCTTTGGATCCACCACTCCGCTCTTTGTCTTTAGCGTCCCGCGAACGCGAGCGAGAAAGTGATCCCAAAATGAAGTATTCCAGGTTGCTGGAGTGCGAGTCAGTCTCGGAGGGATTGACTTTCAGCAGTCAAAGACTTAATACTCGCCCGCCCGCCCAAGCTTGGCATTCCTCTGTATTTACGTAAGGCCCACTCCAATCCAGTCGTCTGCTCCGAGCTTTTGCTCTTTCAAAAGCCCGCGAAATCGTGTCACCCTAAAAATTCGTAGGCGGCTCCACCTCAAAATCCAGCTCTCTGCTGCGGATAATTTTGTGGGCGATAAAAGGCTGTAAAACTCAAAAGGGGAGAATTTTTAAATTATTCGTTTGAAAGTGCATTATGTGATGAAAAATAGAAGGAAGATTCCCAGAAACTTTCGCTTAAAAGCTGATGCGAGCCAAGAGATTAGCCATGGTTGTTTACTTATCGCTATCTTATACGGCGACTGGATAAAGAGATTGTGAAATGGTACGCTGCATGTAAACAAGGTGATAGGAGATCAACTGAATGCGTAGGGAGAGGCCGCTACGAGGCGCCAAAACCTCCGCGGTGTTGCGTAGCGCTATCTCATGCAGATATTAGATATAGTAGCTAGTCTCATTAAACAGACACTAATTAGCTCACGTCCTCTCCACAAAATAAATGGATTGGACATCGTCATGTATCCTACTTATGTCACTTAAAGATAACCCTCGTATAATCATATGTTTTTGTACATATATTATGTTTAATCAGATACCTTATGATTTTATTTTTTGTTATAACTATTACCATGTACATTCTGTTTCTATATTGTATGCTTAGAGATAAGTATTACCATGGAGTTACTAGCCAGTAACTCCATGTTATTACCATGTTCATTATTTTCAATTATATTACCTTCGATAAAGTGGAGAAAAAAAATTGAAACTTAGAGAGGTGAAAATACGATGATATAAATAAAAAATTGATTTGTCAGAATACTTCTATAGACTATGCAGCAGAAGATTATTCATAAACTTGTATCTGCATCTAGCATCTGGCATTGCATTTTTTTTTAATCGAGAAAATCTCAAATATAACAAGAAAAAAAGTACGTCGCATACACGGAAACAAGAGAAATTGGAAAATGATTTCCAATGTGGATCCTTAAAAGTACAAATCAAATCATAGTAGAATATACGTTCTTGTTCAATCATATATTTTCATTTCATTTCATTTATTTCATTCTCCATAAAAATATTGAAATATACAAACATGATACAGATAAAGATCGATAACAAGAAAAATACAAAGGGAAGGAGCAAACAAAATTGTATGGGAATGTAGAGGGTTCACAAATAGGGCAATTAGCCTGATGAACGTCAACCCCTTAAAAATATACACTGTATTGTTGAGAAAAGGAAAAGTAGAGAAAACCTAAACACTAAATACAAAAGAGGAAAACAAGAAAGAAGGGAAGGGGAGGGGCCGAAATACATTACAAAGTGAAACATGACGTCATTTATTTTGAGATTGAATACAATGATAAAAGATGGGATTTATACACTTGTTATGCTTAATTCTAGCGACGTCATTATCATTTTGTTTAATCATTATGGACTTTATTTATTTATTCATGATTTCTTTCAACAGGGTGGTTTTATTGAGGTCCACTGTAAGCCAGTGGCTCTGCTTTTCAATAAATTCTTGCATAATTGTCTTTTACTTTCATTGTTAACTAATTTAGTTAACAATGAAAGTAATAAAATCATATTTAATTGTACAAATTCCTGTTTGACTTTTTAACAATTTCCAAGATGATGCGCATTGTATCAATTATTACAATGGCAACCTTTTACCCATGTTTTTATGCGATCCATGTTTTTATATAATACTCTATCTTTTACTGAATTGGTCCAAATACAACATTTTCCCTACAATTTATAGTTTGTTTAATTAATTGTAGCATCTATTCGATTTTATAATTCCTGGATTTGGTTTCTGTTTTGAAGAAAACATCCTACCCATCTGGTTATGCATTCTCCATGCACCCATAACATTAAACAAAATATATATATCGAATTTCAAACAAATGTATTTCTATTCATAATAATTTGCGGTAGGATGCGACCGTCATTGTTGGTCAAACAGTTTTGTGCTTGGTGTTGGCGTTGGGTGTGGTGTAGGTTTCTTGTCCGGGGTTGGGATTGGGAGTTTGATTAATGTACTGAATTGCCGCGGAGTAATCGTAGCCGGAGCAGGTGTCGTAGAAGCACAATTATATATTATATGTAAAACAAGAATTGCTTTTTTACTACCATAATGTTACCATGCATAGTATATGTTTTACGTGTAATTTTACTTTGTCACTGATGTATACTTTGTACAAAAAACTGTAATTCGGCTCTCGGGCCGCGAATGTTTTTTAATGAAATAAACCATTTGAAATAAATAAATAACAGTATAAAAACACAAGTATTATAATACGATCGCTATAAATTGTGCGTACAACCATGTAAAATATGAAAATAAACATATATTTAAAAGAAAATAACACTTTTTGCATTATAAAGTATGTATTAGCAATTATTTAAAAATAAATACTGAAGTGTTACACTAACTAAAGCCACGCCACATACAAAAGAAAAGCAAAATAAATGAGTAGAAATACATGTACTAAAATACTTACAGAAGGAATAGAATAGAGTTATGTAGGCCTATAGCACTTTTTATGGAAAAAGAAGCCAGTGGTTTTAGGGGAAATAAATAATTGCGCTAAAAGGTTACAGAGGCACAGTAATTGCATGGAAAGGGAAAACCAACCAAAATAGACAACTACCCTAAACGAAATCAGAAAAATCAGAGAAGCAACTGATGAAAATTTGAATTAAACCTGACTTAATAAAAGAACGTTAAACAAAATTGAAAGTTGTAATCACTATTTGTACTATGTGCCCATCAAATTACCTGAAGCGGTACTGTCAATGTGAGTACCGGATTAATTTTTTTTCAAGATTTAGGGCTCAGGAGAGTATGCTATTAATAATATATTTTGATTAGTGCTTCAAGGAAGAGGGAGCTATTGGTGATATTTTTGTACAGGGCAGATGAGAGAGAGTTATCCACGTCCTTCGTCACAATCCAGTACCAAACTACCAATTTGAGATTCGCAGAGACTTAGTGATCTCATATTTCAAACATTCAAAACTTCCTTATACTATTGGTCCGATTCATTTCAAACTTTTGCCATCCTGTTTCTGTTATTTTTCTGCTTTCATAACAAAATCTATACTTATTACAAGGGTTAGATTTCCCTTTAATTTATCATTGTGACATAATTATCATCATGATCTATATATTGTTCGGGACCGCGAGTAAACCATTCTTAGTAACCATAGTAACCCCGTCTCCACCTCCTTGTCTGCTGCCCTCTATTGAGTTCGATGTTGGTGTTTCAGACGGTGTGATCGTGCTTCGCCTTGCCGAGTTGGATGCCTGTTCATCCAAGATGGCGGCGTTCAATCGAGAGATGCTTGAGCGTTGAGTGGATGAAGCGCGGGAAAGCCGGGATTGTAATTCAGCTTGGACAACCCTGTGAAGAAAGAAGTTTAGATACTGGTCCAACAATTATATTCGTGGTGAAATCTAAGAGCAATTCTGAAATTTTTGAGGTTTTGAAAATTGAACGGAGACATAATTATGTTATGGGGTATTTTTGTTTAACATGGGACCCATGTTTAGGGATTTTTTTCGTGAGAACCCCCCCCCCCCCCTTTCCGGGATTTTTTCCAAGTATCCCGACAGATTATTTTGAACCTCCAACGACCCTCTGACAATGACCCTGAACAGTCTCACATAATTATTTACCTTCTTCTGAAACAGCAAGCAGCTATAACCCCACACGACACTGCGACGATGATCAGAAAGTATAACACTCCTAGTGCTATGAGACCGGATCGACCGCTTTCGTGATCGCTCTCACCTTGAAAAGATTAACGATGAAAAGAAAACGAATATTATAATGTTAATAACGTTGATTAAGAAAGAAAAAACATAAAACTCAAATTTTGTGGGTAGTGCAGGGAGAAAAAACAAAACAGTCGTAACGGTTTACTAGCAGCGGGAAATGCGTAAGGAATGTATAGTCAACTACCTTCTTTTCCTAAAATCAAGAAAAGTACCGCCCCCCTCCCTTAGTCATTTTTAGGTAGCATACCTGGCATCGTATCGTCTCATATGGCGACGGATAACATATTAACGTAATCCGAGCGTAAGTTCTATAACAATGGATTATTTTAATTGCACTTGAGTCGAATCTGAAAGTCTTAATTTAAAGGACCACTCTAACCCAACTAACATAGCCTTTCAAAACATGAATACACCTTTACTTATTAATATTCCAGCCTCTAATTCGTCAGAAAATCTCTAAATTGACCCGAAAAAGATAATAACCATCCATTTTTACAGATCTCACGCTTGCTGCATGGGTTACGCCCCTCGAAAAACAGGTAATACGGTCAGGTGGCTTGATGACGCATTTGACGTCATTGCGGGAATGTCACTGTATTTGTCCCACAACTAAGGATCTTACAATCTCGCTGTAATTAATAGTTAGGAATGACGAAATTGCCAGAAACGTACTGAGATTATGAAGTACATTTATTTTTTTCTCGGATAAATGTCTGTTTTTTTTTTCTTCAATCGATATCATAGTTTGCCTTATTAAAGACAGTTTAATGCCTAAATCACCCTCCTTTTCACCGGAGAGGCTCCTGCAGTGACGTCATATGCTATTGCGTTATACAGCTCCGAAACTTTTTTTTTTTATCCAAGGGGGGGGGGGGGCGAGCGGGTCTTACGCCCCCCCCCCCCCCTGGCCAAAAAAAAAGAAAAAAAGTTTAAAAACAAATTGTGACCAGAAGTAAGTTTACTTACCCCGCCCCCACTAAGCGAAATATCGGCCGGCACGATTCTCTAATTTCCGGGGGCAAAAATAAATTTTAAAAAATAGTGCACTTCGCAATCCAAAGATAATGTGATGGTTGCCAGAGCATTGGTATTTTCACAATTTTTGGGGTGGCATGAATCCCCCAAAGCTCCCCCGCCTTTCATCGGTAGCCTATTACCCCTTCGACTGTACTCCGATACGATTTTGGAAGAATTTACCAAATCAACTCATTTAAACACGTACAATCTTAATATTCGAGGGTTTGAAACGTCATCTAAATCAGAAAATCTATATTTAAAGGTATAAAGGTAGGGAACGCCTCTTTGAGGGAGGACAAGCCAACTCGGCTGTGAATCGTAGTCCCAGTTTACGTGTTGGGGCATGACGTATTAAAGCTAGCGGCTAAATACAAAGAACAAAGAGCCCTAATTAACCAGTTCTCTGTTTATTCTTCAGTTACGAAAAACACAAAACATCAAATTTTCAAGGGGTATGAATAATTCAGTTGTTAATCTAATGAACACCACATTTTCAGTTATTGCTTTTTGGTAAAATGTATTTGTTTACATGTCTAAATCTCGTCTGATTTCGAGTTCTTCGAAAATCGGATCACAAACAGTTGGGTCGTCGAGTCGTAGTGATGAAATTGTAAATAATAAAGTCTTAATGTTGTATAGCTCCCTCTCAAGGCCAAGATTATGATTCATTTATAAAACAATGTTTCTTGAGTAAAATCGACCAATTGGATAATCCCGTTTAGAAATTATATATCACAACTGCATGTTCTGAGATTTTGATGGTGCCAGATACCATTAAATGGCAATAAGCGGTATTTGAAATTTATCGGGAACACCGGTAAATTTTGATATTCATTTTCCCCGAAACTTTGTATTAGCTTTAATACCGTACCTTTCGGAGGAGGCTGAGGAGGTCCAATAGGCATATCCCATTCCAGCGGTAATGCATCAGTGGGGTGTAAGAGTAATATGATCCAAATATAATCCATCCGGATTTCCATTCTACCTTGCACGATTCCAAACTTAACAATGCGATGGGGGGAAGATAGGAGTCTGGTTATAGCCTCGTCACACCAATGAGACTGACATCAGTTAGACGATACAGATCGAAAGAAAAATCACATTACTCTGAAATGTTGAATGGCCAAACGTTTGACGATTATCGATCAAGGTGGAGTCAGGTTGCCATTGTGGCAGGGGCGTTAGGCAGTGTCCAACATCTTAGTAATGCATCGCTCACTAGTGAATTATCTTTGTTACCAAACGTTTTTGACACAGAATTATGTTATCAGATCAACAAAGTCGATAATATCGTCATACAAAGAAGACCGACACAAAGCCACCAATAATTATACCTAAGATCGCTCACACCGAATGGCTCAAAGTTTCTCTATTATCTCTCAATTTAGTGTCTGTCTGGCGTCTCGACATAGCCATACAGATATTCGGCAGTATACGAATCCACTGTGCAGTGTCCACATTCTATTGGTGAAGTAGGCATACATTAGCCTTGGTTTAACAAAACGTTTGAATCACAGCTTTAAGAATAACACAGTCGAAAACTGTTGAGAAAATAAAGAATCCATTCACAAACACCGTCACGTCTTTCTGATTTATGCCTCAGTCACACCGCCGAGCCGACTCCAAACCGACCAATTCTTTCGCAATTAGGGGTAATGTAGTTTCTGTTCGGTCTGTCCTCCGTCTGGTGTCAGTCTCTTTGGTGTGACTGGCGTGTTATAGAAACATAATTTATTGTTCCTGGCCTATTCACAAGGTGGAACAACATATCTTCAGTTTTTTCCGGCCTGTTTTCATCAGCTCGAGATTGCCAAATATCCCGTTATTTCAACTAGCCCGATCGCAGATTGTCCAGTTAGTTTGCCTCTTCATCAGCCCGAAGTTGCAATTAGCGGGATATTTGGTCGGGATTATCATTCCAACTTGGGATGATAATCCAAGATATCTTGGGTTAGTTTGCAAAATATCCAGCTATTTGTCCGGTGCGGTTCACCAGACCGAAGACTCGCACTATGCCTGAACGCTGAGCAAAATATCTCGATCTAATTTCTCAAGGTCGAGTTTCAAGCTTCGAGGTTAAATCTCGAGCTGATGATGATGATGCGATTTGTGACTTCGGGATTATTTTCAAAATCAGAAATAGCGGGCTATTTGGCAATCTCGAGATGATGAAAACGCGCCTGAAAGACGATGACCTGCAAGACGGAGAGTAACAGTCGGTTTAACAATAGCTCGGCAGAGGAAGGTGTTGAATCCGTGTTGACATCAAACCTAAATGTTGTTTTGATAAGAGAAGAATAACTTTTGAGGGACATTGCATGAACTGTGATCTTAATTTATTACAGAGAAGGTGCAACTGGTATAGTTCGACTGAAGGGAAGGGGATGGGGGAGGATGGGGGCACAGGATATAATTCGATAAATAAAATGCAAAACATCTCACTGTCCTTCCCCTCTCCTCTTTATTATCTCTCTACTTAATTATCCACCTCTTTTTTTTTGTTTCTTTAGGCTTTCGTGCTAACCTGCTCCCCCCTCTCTCTCTCTTTCTCTCTCTCTCTTTCTCTCTCTCTCTCCCTCTCCTCTTTCCTGCCTTAGCCCCTCGATCTCTATATCACACCCCTTCTCCCCCTCCCCCCTCTTCAACTCTCTCCTTCTTTTTCTATTTAAAAAAGGGATACATTTTGATAATAATGGTTTCTAGCACTAAACGTGCACAGACTACTATTTATGACGATAGAGATCACGAATCAAATATGATTGACAATGAAGACAACATTTTTAGAAGAAGAAAAAGAAGAAGAAGAAGAAGAAGAAGAAGAAGAAGAAGAAGAAGAAAAAAAAAAGAAGAAGGAGAAGATGAATAAGGGGGCAGGCGCGTAGCCAAGGGGGGGGGGCGGTGGGGACGGTCGCCCCCCTAAAAAACGCCGGCCAAAAAAAAAAGGGAAAAAAAAGAGAGAGACAAAGAAGAAAGGAATATGACGTAGGAAGAAAAAGGATTAAGAGTCGAGAACGGTACAACGAATCGTCTAATTCTTTCTCGCATAATTTAATGAAACGTCAAAGCTTCCGCGCTTCGCGCGGGAGTGGGGCAAACTGAATTCAGACAATGATTAAGAGTCGAGAATGGTACAACTAATCGTCTTCTTTCTTTAACATTTTAATGAAACGTCAGAGCGGAGGAAGGGGATTGATTCACTGAACAAGGATAAGAGTTGAGAACGGTACAACGAAACGTCTTCTAATAATTTATTGAAACGTCAATAGAAACTGAATTTAGACAAGGATTAAGAGTCAAGAACGTTACAACGAATCGCCTTCTTTCTCTGGTAATCTACGAAATACTGGATACGTGCTCATGAAAATTATGTAACATTATTCAGTCATGCACATTCAGTCCACTCCGTGGTACACAGGTGGAAGTATTCTTGAAAAGGGGGGAACAAATGCTATTTATAAAGCACCTCCATCGCTATAAGGAGTGATTATTTCAAAATGTACAAAGTGGGACCTCTTCATGTTTTGAAGATCTGTGATATTCGGATTCATTGCAGTAAGGTGCTAACCGTGAACTGGTCATTTAGCAGACGGTACGGACAAACGGAATCGTAGTACGCCCTCTGCTGTTGATCCTGCACCCGGTCGTCGTCTGTCTATAGTCTAGGTCTGAAATTTTCAATCACAAAATTTGCATTCCGCGCCTTCGTCATCTAAACATTTACGCATCCAGGCAGAGGAGAGGCATTTTGATAATATTGACATTTATCATTATTTCATTAATCATGAGCCTTCAGCATAGTATGTTGGAGAGATTCTCTATATCACCTGAAGATTATCTTGGTAAGTTGAGTGAATATTATGCTCTAAATATCTCGTTTTATTGTAAACCCTTTTCCTTGCAGAAATGATTATCGAGCCATTTTCCCGGGCCGAAGCCCCGCCAGGATATCAAGCCAACTCAGCGGGACGGCTCCGCGACAACAGCACCAACGTGCAACGCACGCCCATTCGATCTCCCTCGGCATCATGAATGTCCAAGTCTAACTAGGGTCTGGAGACTAGAGTAGAAAGTCAAGAGTTCTACATGTTTTCTTCTTCCTCCTCCTCTTGGAGTAAAATATGATAATGCATGTCATGTGTGTGTTTGTGTGTGTGAGTAACTTAGTAGAGTAAAGTACCCGGTAATCGGTCAGCTCCGGTTTTCGGCCAATTGGTTGGATACATGGTAAAATCACTTTAAAATACATCGCATAATAGCATAACACATATCCCACACATACCATACCATGCCAGTGTCACTGAAGAACCACATTTGCAATGAAAAATATATCCTAAAATATCACATTTTAGCGATGTAATCGGCGGTCCCGCTACCCAAATCTGAAAAATCGAGTTTCTTAATCTTACGCGTGTATGTAAGAAATATGGGTACCATAAAATGAGCTTTATTTCAAGTATTTTTCAGATATAGAGCCCGATTTTGTGCTGGTCGCAAGCTCAAAAGTATCTCATCGCATGTATTAAATCAATGCAGCCGCACACCGCGACGCACACACGATATGTCTGTCTAATTCAGATTCCAACTTCCGATCACCGCTGTGCCTGTATTCGGCCAGGCGAGCACCCGGGAGCTCCGGCGTGGGATACCTGCTCCGCCCGCTTGTGCTATACATCAGCGCAGAAACGCACGGCGCGCGCGAGCGCTTCCTATTGACTTTGTACATGCGGCCGTAAACTGAAACGCTCGGCCGATAACCGGCTCCAAAACAGTGAAAATTGAAATGAAAATTGTCATGGCAATTCTTGATTTTTTTTTGGGATTCTTTTTTTGTTTAAATAATAATAATATTTGCTTCATGATTTGAACAAGAAATGATAATAAATAGGAAGTAAAGAGTCCAATAAATAGGATTTTGTCTTAAGTGGCCGAAAACCGGGTACTTTACTCTAAATGAAGCCAAACATTATTAAAGTGAATGGGTTGTTGTAATGTATAGCGTGCCCAGTATTCGGTCAGACAGCCGTTTCAACAGCTGTAACAATTTAAACAATAATTTGTGAGCCACGAAACTTGCTCAAATCAGGCAGCTGAACAACTTTTCTGAACTCTCAAAATTACATCAAATTTAGGGCCCAGGAAAGATCTCCAACTTAATTAGCTTGAAATTGGTCAGTGTCGCACAACTTTCTGCACTTCCGCGTTCCGCATGCGCTAACATGCATAGCCACATGTAGAAGTCTATTGTGAAACAACTAGGTGTGCTGTCGCAATGAATTTAGTATGTGTGTGAAGAGAATCACTTCCGTGTTCGCTCCATCGCAGCGAATTTGCAAATGACGCACTTGCCGATGTGCAAGAGGTATTTATACGATACCCTTGCCATGCGGTATCGCTCGTCCAGTATTCGGTCAACGCATTGACATTCAGTGCTTTATCGCGCAATTTTGTGAAAATAGTGCGCAAATACGCTACGCTCCTTGGCAACGGAGATACCACGCACAAATCGCGTGACCGAATTCTATTCTGTGCGACCGAATTCTGGGCAGAAAAATGCTCCGTCTTCTTTCTGAAGTATTTTGCTTATCACTATTCTATATTTTAAGTGACTATAAAATCCTGTTAGAGGAATAAATTTATTTTCTTTTGATGGGTAGATTGCCAAATAAAAGAGGTAAGAATTCAAAATATTAGTGATTTCCCCTTAAGTGACCGAATACTGGGCACTCTACCCTAGAATTTAATTCTCATGATATAGGATTAGGAAACTAGAATTTTCTTTGCTCTGTGAGACAAATGTCAAATGACGATGACGTGAGGGGAGTCTCAGTCTGTGATTCCATTCAGTATTGTGCATGCCACGTGATCGTGATCTGTGCAAAATGCCTGTAGTTCCAAAGGTACTGTATATTTGAGTATTTTCAAGTGAACCAGGCTGGTAATGAATAAATTTTGAAATATTCAACAATACAGACATTTGCAATTTTATTTGTGGGAAACTACCACAAACAATGTCTTCCAAATACCCAAAATGACAGTCTTTGCCAAACCTTTACAAGACGGCAAGTACATCTACAAGCACATCTACAAGCATCGTAACTAATACTAGAAAATACTAAAAAAGAAGAGCTTTCAAAACATTGCTAATTTTACAGAATCTGGTGCCTGGAAAAGGTATACGCCAATTGCCATAGAAATGTTGTCTCTGTGTTTGCCTCAATGCATTGTTATGAAATATATTTGACAACAGAAACTATTTAAAGCCTCTCTGCACTAGTTTGGCCAGGAGGTATTGGACCTCCCTGCATGGTCACTGACAGATGGTTATCTCATCAAATCAGCTCTCAATTAAGATAAGGAAAAAGGGACCATGGGGGACCAACGCTCACCGCTTATGCATTGTTTGCTATGGAGGGTGCAAGTAGCTACATGTATAAGTATTGCAGTGGGACTTTAATTGAATTGAAATTATTTTTCTTCAATGTGTAGAGCGCCACCATGTGTTGACCTACTTGGAGGATGCAGTGACCCAGCTGCTTGAGTTCAAGGAAGATCAACCCAAGGCAGATCCGGCCATCTTCCTACAGGAATAGTAAGTTCATATTGTAATCGAATATGCCATATTTTTTATGTAACAACATTTTTAATCAAGTGCCTCGATACAAACTTTTTCATTCATGTGTCATGAATAATTGTATGATAATAATTTTAAAAATTTAAAACGTTACTTTTAAAGCGCTTACCACCGAAATCTCTAAGCGCTATACACACAAAATAGACTGAAATACAATTACATCTTATACAAAACTAAAAATGCAAATTGACATACAAATTACAATACATATGGAATACATGTCAAAGTGAACAGAGTTAATTAATCATCGAACGCAATTTTGAATAAATGTGTCTTGTATTTCAATAGTCAGAATGTAAATTGCGTGTTGTAAGGTAGGGCGAGTTGTAATGTTTTTTTTCCTACCTAGAAACAAGGGATGTATGCAGACTTAAAATTCATAATGTTCGTCCTACCTAAATGTACATGTGTATTGTGTAGCAACAACTTCATGTACATGTATGTATGTTAAATTTATATCTGACTAATGAGAGCAGAAAGGCATGTGCATACATTTGGTTACATTACGAAAATGGCTTGTTCATTTGTATACCATTGTTTCAAATTTCCAAAAGGGAGGAAGATATTCTTTGAATGTGATGCAATCTTACTGTGTGAATGGCAAAGACATTCTGAGAAACGACAAATTTTCTGTATACACCCCCCCCCCCACAGAACAAACAGTTTGTATAAAGATATAAATAATTCAAAAACGGTTAATATTTCAAGGTTTTGCCAATGTACAATGTAGAATGTTAATAGAGAAATATTTCTTCTTGCATGGGCAGACTGATGTTAAACCAAGTGCATGTGCTTTTATGTGAAGGGTACAGCTTGCATTCTTTGCAAGATTTTTGGAAATGATGAAATGAATGCTGTCACTGAAACAGAAACTCTTTTGGGCTTGTACGTACAACACTTCTTATATTGTTACATACATGTCTGTTGTTAAGCATCTTTCTATTTTGTTAATTGTTCATTGTATATGTTAATTAAGCGCTTTGTATCTACTTGTAGAAAAGGCGCTATACAAAATATGTTCATTATTATTATTATTATTATTATATAATTTTTCTTAATTCATCAAATTTAATGCAGAAATCTTTGTTAAGTGTCTCTTTACAATTGTTGTCATTCACCTGTTATGAATAATTGTGTTTCAATATAGCCAGAATGCAAATTGCATACATTTCTTGTTGCTCCTCTTACATGTACTATATGTAGGACAATAACGCCATAATGTTTGTGCTACCAAGCAACACTTGATGTAAGCAATTCACATTGTAACTGTTGAAACACAATACTTGCAGCAGGTGAAGGAAATAGTATGTTAATTAATACAGTAGGCCTACATGTAGATACTTGACATGTATAATGAAGGATGAAGAAAAGTTGAATAAAGACGAAATAGCCTGTTGTGGAAGAAACATCCATTAAAGGAAACCTAAACCCAAAGAATAAGTGTAGGTATTCTGAAAAATGAGATGTATTCCTGCCCTTTGATGTACAATATTCCTTACGAAAATGTACAAGATATATATAAATGAAGATATTCCTGGCATGATGTGATGCCTGTCAGCATGACATGGGCGCAGCCATTTTCTTAAACATGTGACGTATCTGTTGAAGTTGTACATGTATCATGCACCAAGCTTTAGTTGGAAAGAATTTTTAAATCAATAACGAAACCTTTACTTTTCAATGAAAAAAAATAACAACTGAGATGATAGAAATTATATTAGGTGAAAAATAAATAACAGGGGCCCAATTGTAACAAATTCATTTATAAATTCTACACTATAGCAGTTGACAAATATATTTCATTTATGAGAAACCTTCAACCCAGAAGAGCACTAACTAATTTATGCAATTTGCGTTCTGGCAATTATAGTACAAAGGAAAATAGCAGGTGAATGAAATGCTTCATCACCACACGTCTGGGAAAGAAGCATCCATAAATTTGAATACATTTACTTGATAAACGACTTCGCATAGTACGTCACATTATCAAGAAAATGGCGATGCCCATGTCGTGCTGAGAAACTGTACTTTATTTTTGCTTTATACCTCTCTCATACACTTTGGTGGGGAATCTTGTAGATGTATGGGTAATAACATAATAAATCTCTCATAATAAGTAAAGTTATTACTTGGGGTTCGGTTTCCTTTAATTTGAATAGATTTTTGAAGCACTTTTTATTTGAATAGACCTGTCTACTAATTGTATGCATACCTTTTGAACAATAGTTTATCTGGACAACTAAAAAGCTTCTGGAGGGGCGCATGCCCAACACAGCAATGGACGTAGAGTATTGCTTAGAATAAAGTAGACACTCTCACACTGTGTCACGCGTGACTGCATGTACATGTATTATGTGTCTACTTTATTTCAAGCAATACTGCAAAGTGAATTCCATCTACATGTACAGAGATCTGTTATGCATTGCATATGAATCAAATAGTTGTTACCAATGGTTCAAGAGAGAAACAATCATTAGTAAAGAGGCCTCTTTGAATAAAACAGTGCCTATACAATCGGCACGATGGAAAATAAAGGTCTGCACAAACTTGTAACACCTAGGAAGAGACAAACAAAGAGCATGTGAATGCATCCAGGAACAGACAATGGAACATCTGCTAGTCTGCCCACTTCCTGCCAGGGCCATGCACCCAAGATGACCTGGAAGCCGTGAACTGCCGTGCCAGAGCCTTGATAAGAAGAAGAAGACACCCAAAGAGAGGAATGCTGGATATGTGCTCATGAATGATGAATGTTAATGTTATTCATGCATTGGCAGTACATTCCCTGATATGCAGGTGGTAATATCATTGTCAAGAGGGCAAATAAAAGGTATTCATGAAACACTTCATGGATTGGCAGTGATAAGTCTAAATAGGCCATTTTCGTAATGTAACCAAATTTAATGCATAAGTCTTTCTGAAGTGCCTCAATACAATTATTTCATTCACCATAATAGTATTTCAAGAGTCAGAATACAAACTATATTAAGTGTTGCTAGGTAGGTCAAACCATAATAGTTGTCCAACCTGGCAACAACTAATGTATGCACTTCGGATTCTGTCTATTGAAATACTATTATTCCTATCAGGTGAATGAAATAATTTGTATTGAGGCACTTCACAAACACTCATGCATTAAATTTGGTTACATTACGAAAACGGCCTATTGCGGGGCCTCACCATTTGTAAAAGATCTCTGCATATTTGGAGTCTTTTGTACATGTACGTGTGCTAACTACAGACTATATTGTTCTGTTTCTTCCTGCAGTTTCGTCAGTGTAATGAAAGGCACCCACGTCCTGTATAGGGAGTATGAATTTGTTCGCTGCACACCACACAGCAGATCTTCCTTCATTAAGTTATTCTGGAGATGCTTCAAGTACATCGGCAAGCAAGGAGGTGAGACAATGTTGCTCTGAAATTCATTTTTTCTTCTTCTTCCAGTAGTATAGTACAGACTGCCGTTGGCGTATTAAAAGGTGGGAGTTGTTGCTACCTTGTTTGGCGTTCAACAATAAGGGATAGAGCAACGTCGATCTGGCGCTGCTCAGTGGTTGCCGGGCTCACGATCAATTGGGCAAAAAGAATTTCTGTTTCGGTTTAATAAAATTTAATAAAATTTGGAGTGGACTGTTAGGCTATCATCATCGTCGTCGTCGTCGTCGTCGTACCTTGTGCTTGTGTACAGTGTACAGTGCAACTGCAAGTAAAAAGAATTCTATATGCAGCTAAATACAGTCTAAAGCTCAACAAAGCTTAACGTGTTGCACCTTCTGCCTGAAAAGTTCTAAAGAGGTGCAATAAACGACAGCAGATGGTAAGGAGTTCCACAGGCGGATAGTATCTGGGTAGAATGTGGTTTGGAATAGCAGAGTTCGGACAAAGGGGACATGGAATTTCTGTGGATTTTCATTTTCAACCACTTATACATGCACAAGCTTATTTGAAAACGGCTTTTTTCCAGCACGTATAGAATTTATTTCATGGTATTATACACTCCAGAGTTGCGCATTTACCTCTAGCGCTGTTCTACATGTACCTGCTGAGAGGCATTAATTGCACACTAATGCACAAAATGAATATGAAGTGGCTGATCATCAAGTTTGACAGACTAGCGATTTGAATTTTCAAAGTACTTTTTTTAACATCGGTAAGTTGACAAAATTATATTTTACTGCTATTTAGGTGTCATTAATTGACACTAAAGTACCGATTTTGAGTGAAATCAGTTGAGTTTTGTACAGTGGTGTTTATAGAGGTTGTCTAAGTTTTTAATACAAAAAAAGTATACTTAACGCTGCTTTGAAATTCATTTCAGCCATTTATACATGGACAAGCTTATTTGAAATGAGCTTTTTCCAGCATGTATAGAATTCATTTTATGCTATTGTATTGAAAAAGTGAACCACCATTCACTCCGCACAGGAAAGCTTCATTGCGTCACATGTGTCGGCCTCTTATTTCCAACTACATAGGACCAAATTCACAAAGGAGGTTTAAATTTAACCCATGGTCTAAATTTAGAGCAAAATAAGCGTGACACAATCAGAGGTTCAATATCAGACGCGCTCAAAGCAAGGTATGGTCATTTTGTGCTGATCTTTAAACCATGGGTTATGTAAATGAGGGCTTAAACCATAGGTTAAGTTTAATAAACCTCCTTATTGAAATTGGGCCAAAGACTGCACAAAAGTGTTTGCATGCAGAAAAACGGGTGGTTTGGAAGACTATGCCAATTTAATTTTATTTCTTTTTACAAATTTTTTAAATTGTTTACATTTTAATTATTATTTTATTCATTTTTTTTTCTTTTTACAAAGTACATGTATGTGAGCATAAATAATGTATCAAGTCAAGCATTTTACAATTAAAGGTGGCTCCTCAACTTAATGTGCCAGTTTCATCATGAATTTGTCAATGATCTACATGTGTATGGCAATCATTAGAAATTGTGTAACGTAAAAAAAATCAATGCCTTCCCCCAAAAAATTATTGCTGACCTTTAGCAAAATCTCATAGATTGATTGATTTTGATTTTGCAGAGTCAGACCGGTCTCAGTGACCATCTGTGTTTAGAAATGGACTATAGTGTCTACAGTGGCTATTTTCTCGCTTTTCCTTGAGTGACCTTTAAAGGCAAACCTGCTCGACTCTATATGCCAATGCAGTGAAACCCGTCTATAAAGACCACCCAATGGAGACAAGAAAAACGTATTTATATTGGCAGGTGATCTTAAAGTACAGGTTCCTTCAGGTCCATGCATGTATGTTTCAATGAGAAACTAAGGGATACAAAAATGTGGTCTTTAAGTACAGGTTCCTCTAGTACATGTACGTGTTTCAATGAGAAATCATTTTCAAGGGAAACAAGAATGTGGTCTTCGTAGTGGTCTTCAAAACAGGTTTGACTGTAAGTGTAGTTTCTTTCACTAATAAAATTATTTAATTTGTTTTCTCTTCGTTCTTTGTCCAAATAGATTTACTGACAGTGAGTGAATACCACTCCTTGCTTAGTCTACTCTGTCCAGACTTTCCTGTTGACCCTGTTCATCGTACAGCTAGGATCATCTTCTTAGAGGATGCCATGGACTCCTTGACATCGTTTGCAGACTTCCTATTTGCATTCCAAGTCCAGTTCTACTATGATGGTGAGGATAATGCTTTTCTTTCTCTTTTCCCTTATACAACGAAACCTGTCTATAAAGACCACCCCAAGTGATACAAGAAAAGTGGTCTTTATAGGCAGGTGGTCTTTAGTGACATCGTTTGCTGACTTACTCTTTGCATTCCAAGTACAGTTCTACTATGATTGTGAGGACAATTCTTCCTTTTCCTCATTTTCTTTTTCCCTTTTTTTTCTTATTGATATTTGCTGATTATTTTAGCGTAGTTTTGTAGCAATATAGATCGTGGCCAAAATTAACATCTCCTCAAATACAGATGGTTCCAAGGCTGCCCTGAAACACATCTGTTATTTGTGTTGGTACCTTGACCACTTTAACCATTTTAAACACTGTGTACATGTATGGATGCTGCTGCGTTATAGAATAGACCGGTTTACCAACATGGTCAAAATTGTGGATGTTTCTTTCCTGGGGACCTAGTGACATGTAATTCCATTAACCTGTTATTAATGATAGATAGATAGTTTATTGGTTAAAGGTAATACGTTTTGGTATGGGATGATGAATTTGGTTCAAATGAACATATTGGAAGCATATGCGATCCTACAATATTAAGTGATCGTTTTCGAGGTCGAAATCGACTCTAAATTTATGAAATTGTAAATAATAAACACTTTATGTTGTATAGCTCCCTCTCAAGGTCAAGATATTATTTAAGCTATAAAACAATGTTTCTTGACTAAAATCGACTGATTAGCTATTCCCGTTCGGAAATTATATAGCACAACTACATATTCTGAGATTTTCATGGTCGCAGCTACCATTGTACGGCCGTAGGAGCTATTTGAAATTCATCAAAATTTACCGGGAGCACCGGTAAATCTTTATATTCAATTTTTCTCAAAAGCAGAAGTGTTTTAGGGGCTAAAATTTCTAGTGCTTTTAATACATCCACAGGGGCATCCAAATATATCAAAATTGTAAAGAATCATTATACACCCATTTTTCCAAATTTACCAAAACTTTGTAATACCTTTAATGAAAGTAATACTTGGAAACCACTCTGCATATATTACATGTTACTAAAGCAGACAGGCTACTATGTGAGGCAGGTTACAGCAAGCTTTCATGTTTTTAAGAACAAACTTTGTTTTAAAACTTTGCATTACATTTTAATACAATTAACCAGTCTATTTCTTCAAAGATTTCTCAGCATCTACGAAGGTCAGATATCAGTGGCTTAGAACTTTTGTTTTAAGTGGCCCAAACATTGTGGAGCGTGTGTGCAGTGCTTTGTAACTGCAAGGAAAAGGCGCTATATCAAATATCTTTTGGATTGGATTAGATTAGAACAAACAGTCTTTATATTTTCTTTGTCAAGTAGAATTCCTTCAAAGGTGTCTGGACATCTACGAACGTCAGATCTCGTCTGCCCAGAGTCCACGAGAGACTGTCTACATTCCCAGCGAGGTATCACCACGGCAACAGAAGAAACCTTCACAGTCCTCCGCTGAGAATCCACCGCCAGACGGAGTAGACACCAGGTACTTCCTGGATGCGATCTCAAAGGAATGCCAGAGGGCTAAGTACAGGTGCGTTCATTTCATCCTCCGCCCCGCCCCCCCCCCATCATCTTTTATTCGAAGAATAACTTCCTCTGCGTCCTTGAGTAACCGTCATACCTGCCAACCCTTCTAAATAATCCAGATTATTCAGATTTTCTGGATTTTTAGGACCTAAAAATTAGGAATATTCAGATTTTTAAAATCTTGATTTTTTGGTGCTCAAGCCCAATTAAGCTTGTTTTATCATGTGCTGCGATTTGAAAGTTCATGTACTGTGTGCGTTGAATGGCTTCATGATCGAGCAGCGCTTTTTTGTACAGATTTACCACGTATTGCCAGTTACACTACCGCTGCATGTGCGAACGCCTGTTAAGGGTACAGATTTCTTATTTTCGAAGGCATACCGTGTTAGAAATTCCTAATTCTTATTTTCATATGTTGGCAGATATTAACCGTTGAATGAAAAGAATGATACATCGGTGCAAGAAATTTGGTGCTGATAATTCCATTCCACTAGTTGTGCTAACAGCCTTCACCACCAATTTGCTTTTATTTTATTTTCTCCTTCGGATTGATTGCATATCCAAAACCTTTGCACCTTAACTTTGTCAGTGTGATTTGGGATCAGCGTGTATCAGTTAGTTATCAAAATAGATCAAATGGGACTGGCTGTTGAAAATGGTATTTTTTAGGCCCACTTGCCCAATGCTCGTAATGCAATGTAAAACCAATAATTTTCACGAATAGCACTTGTCTAATGAAATGCCAGTTCTGAGCCACTTATTTTCGGAGTAAAATCTTTGTGAATCTGAAACATTTTTGAGCTTTGCAAACATTTCCATCGCAAAAAAAACAACTTATAATAGATGGATCCATGCTTAATACCAGCATGTCAAGGGTCATAAATTGTATCAAAAATATAAACTTTGGAACTTCATCTTCAATTCCAGCTTTCCAGGGTTATCTGACCTACGAGGAGTCCTTGCCTCCAGCAGCCGAACATCTTTCTACGGTTTCCTAGTGGCACTCTCCAAGGATGACGCTATCAACGCAGGGATTGGTGTGCTGCCCTCTAGGTCTGCATTGTATGATGAACCGTCTAATACCCCACCACCTGCTGAAAGGTAATGTTCTACAAAATGTTGACAAAATATTCCTTTTTTTATGGGGGGGGGGGGGGGGGAACTCATTTTTGTAGTGCTGTAAATCTTTGGTCACACACATGAGGAAGTAAATTTCCTCAGATGAAAATCTGTGGCTATTATGGAAGACACCTTTTTCCCAGATTAGGCTACCAATCAGAATTTCAGAAACAGTCAGTTGGGAACATTTGGTTACCAGCCAGTAACCCACCTGCTTTGTAGAGAGCAATTTCAGGATATGGTGTAAATATTGAAGCCCTAACAAAATTGAGCTTCAAAATGATCAAGAAGTGCCTCAAGATCATAAAAACCTTTGAGTGACTGGTTTTACCATACTCGTTTTCCCCAATAGACTGTAGTGTAATGAAAACCGTTTGGCAAACGCAAAATTTGATTTTGATTTTCAATCATAAATATCTTGATAATCAGACAGGCAATCGGCTTGTAAAAGTCATGGGGTTCCTGACTGACCTAAAGGTTTATAATTATCATTGCAGCATGAGCTAAATCAAGGATTTTTCTAAAGGACTGTTTTAGTCGGTCGCTCCATCTGAGCTTATGTCTACCTTGTCTCCTATGGCCTTCAGTGCATCCTCACAAAATTATCTTTTTAATACCGTCATCATTCCGTCTACTGATGTAGCCAATATACTACAGGGTAGCAATTCTATGTTCAATCCATGATATTCTCAGCATTTTTCCCTCCAACACCACATATCAAAATCGAAAATCTCACTTTTATCATTTATGAACTAAAGTTTTGATGGAATAATGACCTGTTTTGGTTAAATATTATGTTTTCTTATTTTTAGGAAAAGCAAACGGAGTACTACAACAAGACTTGGAGGAGCTTCCCTGAGACAAGATGAGAAGTGATGAGGATCCTCTTCAAAGGATTATATCTAGCAAAAGATCCACCGAAGCAGCTCTGTTTTCATGATGCCAACAAAAGCCTTGAGAGCAGAGATGTTCGTTCCCTTGATGTGTGGTAAGGTAGCGAGATCAAAGACAAGATTCTTTGAGGCATTTTGTTTCCGATGCCAGACGAGCTTCAAGAGGTGCAGGACGATCTTGGGACTGGATGGGAAGCAGCATCCATGTTCAGCAAACAGGGTTAGGCTCGGTCCTTCTGAGAGAGACCCAGGTTAGTTTGTAAGTGCCGCTTGTTGCAGGAGCGTCAGTCTGCAATGATGGCAATCACATGTTTTTGTGTTTAGTATTACCTCACCATGTTGATGACTGTCCCACAGATTTCTTTTGGTCTACTTATAAAAATAATTACCAAAACCATATTAAATATTTTTTTTGTAAGCACATCTGTCTGCAATGATGGCAATCATTTGTTTTGTTAAATAGTATAACCTCACCAAGTTTTGCCACAGATTTCTCTTGCTTTGGTTTACCTACAAATATTTGAACCAAAACCATACCTTTTAAATTTGGTTCTTTTTGTAAAGCATCTTGGTGTGCAATGATCGCAGTTACTTATTTTGCCGTGCATCATTATCTCAAACTTTGGTCAACGTTGAACAAACAGGGTGAGGCTCGGTCCTTCTGAGACCCAAGTTAATTTGTAAGTGAGTGCTCCTTATTGCGGAAGTATTACCTGTGTTATTATTTATTACAATCACATGTTTTAGTTTTAGTATTGGGCTTGTTGTATTGCCCTTAAGGTGCCAAAACATGGGTTGGATGGTCAGAATTTTTTTTCTTTCCCTCTTTGGGCTGATATTTCTCATTTTTGAACGCTTTAAAACTCTTTTTTTCTAAAAAAACAATATAAATGTAGATTAATTAAAAAGGCGACCATTGTTTTCAAGATTGTTGGGTCGGTCGCGAAGGGCAATAAATCTTTTTTTAAAGGCCTCCTCTTCTTGTGCACCAATATCCTCTTCAGGTGGATCATATGCTGTGCGTCTTGATTTAACACTCTTGGTAGGGAAATCAATAAAAGCCTGACAGCCGATGCTCCAAGTCTTTGTCTTTGTCCCAAAAGATACTTGAATCTCTGTCATCAAATGTTAAACGTTTCAAAATAATGTTCAAATGTCTTTGATGTGATGAGTGCAGTAGAATGGAACGGCCTCCAGCTCCTTTTCAGACATGTAAGCCAGGCCAATGCATTTCTGGTGGACCCAGTACTGGCAAGCAGATTTGGATCGCTTTGTGAAGCTGCACCCGATCCACAGGTCAATGTCCTCTGGGCGATTGCAGACACGACAAGCGTCCTTGTTGAGCTTGCCCTTAGTATTGGGCCAATCAACGTCCTTGGGATAGGCAACATGGATGAATTATGTACAGTTTGCCTTGCATAAGCATGTTCACTTCTCGTGGTTCTTAAGTGGCATGACGTTTCCTAGGCGTTGTCATTATAGATGCCGCAGCAATGTCCAATCAACGTCCACAGTGGCATGACGTTTCCTAGGCGTTGCCATTACAGATGCCGCAGCAATGTCCCTCTCAGTCTCTTTTTTGATCTCTTGATCTGGGGGTACCAGCATCTGGTGTAGAAAAGCACCAGCTTTTAACTTTAAGCCATGTGGGTCGAATTGCCAAGTTCACCGAACACCTCGTTTCCACTGCTATCTCTTTGGCCTGCATTAATGTAAAAAGAGGGAGAGAGAGATAGAAAAAGGGAATCGACAGTGAAGGGGGGGGGGGGCAGGTATTATGTCTTTCTTGTTAATAAAAAATAGAGATATATAATGCAATAATATGTTTAATGACACTCACATTGGTCCTATAGGTTATTTGCCTTTTTCAGATTCAGATCAGAGGTTGAAGATATTGTGACGCGGGACGCAAAACACCTTCTCAACAAATGAGTCTCAATAGAAATTGCTGCCACCACATGGTGATATAGGGACATGACCCCTGGATCAACTGAGGTTTCTCCAGTTGATCCCAATCTAAATGGAAACTACGTCACAATATGAATTGTCTTTCCTTGTGACGTAACAATGCAAGACTGCAAGAGAGTTAATTATGCATAGAAAATGGGGGGGAAAGGATTGCCGCTGATTGGCTAAGAGTAATGCGTGCCAAGTGCCATTCAATCAGACACCATGCGCCCATGTTACAAATTAGGAGCCATTCGTCTTAGTGTGCTCAAGAAATCCCGACAGAATTCACCAAGATGTTCCTCATGATGCATTCAGCTTCTTGTAGATTAAAAAGGAACAAGTCAAGAAATACTGGTAAATATTCTGTACTCTGATACTCTGTCTAATTGTTTATTCTGAATAATCTCTCTTCCATCATAGGCTTGTCGCTACTCATTCACATACCATTAGCAACGTGTATCAGTATTGCACGATAACCACGTACAGAACTTAGGCATTTTCCCGCACATGCATACGTTCACTCCACACTACTCAGGGATAGGTACCACAGAGTACTCACTTAGCCTCTCGCTGCATAGTCTCGCATTTCCCTTACTCTCTGTCTCTCAAACTTATCCGAGCTGGAATCAATGGCGTAATAGGGCCGTTTGCATCAAGCAAACTGTTGGCTAAATAAATCAATCTAAACTCATCATTTTCTCTCTCGCTCTCACTTGACAATTGTAGTTACCTCTCCATCAACATCTTCTTTATCAATCAGGTCTACAATTATTGGTCAGGCAATTGCTTCAATGAATAATGCAAGAATACTTTGTAATAACGTTTAACTTGAACTTTAATAATGTATAAAACAGTAACTGGTGGAATGAATTCCGCAACGATGGTAAAGATACAACTTAGTCTAGGTTACATGGTATTTTAATCCACTTGGAGTACAAATATTTATAAGTTATTTAAATTACGTTCCAACGTTTCTGTCTTTATTCGATCCTAGTTCCCAAGTCAGTGTTAACTCTTCTTTTCATACTCATTATCCCCTTGGCCTAAACCGTGTTGATGCGACCAGCGCATATTAACACATCCTTTCGTATATCATAAAACCTCGCTTCTCAACTTGCCAACACCATTTCTCCCCTCCTGGGCATACCTGAACCAAACTTTCCCATCTTAAAACGTAGTCACTACCTTCTGGTCAGTGCTACTTTCAGAAACCGACGCTTAATGAAAACTGGCCTCAGAGATATTATCTCCCAGAAACTATGTCTAAAGATATCTTAACGAGGGAACAACTCTCTTGTTTAATCTGAACCATAACTTCTCAGAGTTTAACTCTAAATTCACAAATATATAAAATGTAATTATTAAATCAATGCATGGCGGTGGACTAGCAGGAAGAAAAGGGAGGGGGGGAGATGGTCAACTTCCAAGTCCTCTGATCTTGGTTCTAGTACCTCACTGACTGATCATCAAAACTGTAAGCAGTCTGATAAAATGTTCATCTAAACAGAAATTGCATTCTGTTCTGTAGCCAAAATCATCTAACTGATCATCAAAACTGAAGGCAGTCTGATAACATGTTCATCTAACAGAAATTGCATTCTGTTCTGTAGCCAAAAATCATCTGACCTTATATCCTGAAAGGGGAGGGGGGGGGGGGGGAACTAGTGACACCGCCTAAGACTAAACATGCATTGATTATGATATCTAGTAAGCATTTATGAATACATGTACTTCAATTCCGTACAAGTTTATGACCGAAAGGTCTGAACTTAGAATATTTCCTAAGGTAACAGTTACCAAAAATACTTAGAATATTTTAATAGAGCAAGTGACCGAAAGGTCTGAACTTAGAATATTTTCTAAGGTAAACAGTTACCTTAGAATACTTAGAATATTTTAATAATACAAGTGACCGAAAGGTCTGAACTTAGAATATTTTCTAAGGTTAACAGTTACCAAAAATACTTAGAATAATTAAGCAGTGCAGGTTACCGAAAGGTCTACACTTAGAATATTTGTATGTATATTCTACAACCATATTGAACAAGGTAAAAGTTTATGTATAAAGGCACTTTTGAGACACACTTAACTCTTCCAGTTAGCTTAGTCAGAAGACTAAGATTTAAGATGTCAAAGTATTAACATATTAAAGTATTGAAGTATTAGAAAGTCTTAAAGTATTGAAAATCCATCAATTTCCAACCAGTAAAGGTCTGAATAAATAATGCCAGGGTCCCAGACCCTGCAGTACGAACGAGGACATATGTTCCTTCCACACATGTTGTTCAGTTCTATAATAAATAATTATATACAAGGATGCAATGAATGAGTTGTCTTTTCTGTGTAAGTCCTATCAGAGCCAAAACAGTGACACTTAGAATATTTCAGAAGTGTAAGTAGACTCTAGATACCAAAAGGTCGACACTTAGAATAATTTGGACATTTCAACATATTTCAATAAGCACACAATTAATTCCAGAATTCAGTCTGAAAATATCACATCATACACTTCATACATCAATATTATTATCTCCATTAGATGTGAAAGTACTGAAGAACTATATCGGGAATTATATTACCAACGATCCAAATCTAAAATCTGAATTTGTAAATCGAATTCAATTTCCTCCTAAAATCCCACATTTAGATAATAAATTCATTAAATCAGTAAGAACTGCATTCCATATTAATTTTCCATCTTCCCTTTAATTATTCCTATTTAATTTGAATAAAATTGGTACTTACAATGCTTCTTTGGGTGAAAGCTGAGAAGAGAATAAGAATGAATTGAGAACGTCCGAATGGTCTTCCAAAATGGCGATCTGAGAACTTGTGCCAAATTTGTGTCTCCCGCCCCGTATTTATACCCCTCCAATCCGGCAACGTGATTGGTCAAAAGTTCACACATATTTACGCGCCACTTTTAACCAGGCCGACCGGCCAGATAACCAAATCTCTGAATAAAATAGCACCCTCTACGTCACATTCAATGCAACTCAAAATCTCTCGCGGGAAGTTTAAAAGGTAAATTCCTGAACGCGCATACATGTGTACATTATCTCACAGGAATAATACAAAATAGTTACCAAGGAAATCTAATACTACGAGAAATACCAAAGGTGAGTACCTGCTTCCATAACATTATATATGTATGTGTAATTCTTGAGCATTAAAGTTTAAAAAGGTGACATAAGGTGTCTCACTTTAAGAGAGGAATTCCAGTCCCACACATTGTATTTGGTGTGGTAAAAAAAAAGATTTATCGAAAGTTTATTTATCTATCCAAGTCCATATGAAAGATAAACATGTATATTTTATTTACCCACCAAATGTTTAATTAAAAGAAAAAAATAGAGGGGTGGGGTCCAAAAACGCCACACTACCCCCCGCCTTTTAAACTTCGCTGTCCTCAGCGAATAAACAAAATTATTTTATTCTAAAATGTACATTTATGAGGTAATTGGTATATACAATAATTAATTAAATACATCGATAAGAAATGCCAAATACTATATTTAAACAAGTTTAATTACACCACAAATTATTCCAAAAGCTCGATGTGGGGGTAGAAATGGGATGTCTTCTTTTCTTGTAGAATGTTTTTTCCTCCCACATTCACGAAGGTTTCGGTTGTTACGGAGACGCACTTAAGCTGGGTAATACCTAGTGTTGGGGATTTCACGTGGCAAGTAACTTCAAAATCATTGTTCTTGCTCTCTTTTACTATCGCCATTCTTAAGGGGGTCACCACCTGTTCCTCCTCACTCTCACTTGCGCTCAGATCTGTTGCGGTCACAGATTCCATCTCCTCCTCTGACTCGCTGGCTTCTACGCTTAGTTCGGCCTCCTTGGCTTTCTTCCCCTCTTCAATTTCCCTGGCTACCCGTCTGGCCATCTCCCTCCTCCTTCTCTTCTCTGGCCTTCTCCTCCTCTTGTCTGACTCTCTTCACCTCGCTTGCCTTCTCTTCCTCTTGTCTGACTCTCTTCACCTTCCTCTCACTTGCATCTCTTCTTCTTAGGAATCTGATTGAGGCCACATCATACCGGTTATGCTTGGTTTCTGCCCCCTTCAAGTGGTGCTGCCTTTTTAAATGACGCACCAGATGCTCTTCCGACTCTGATTCATAATCACATCGTCGGCACTGGTAGGTCAGGTCCGAGTCATGGCTTTCCTGAAGATGTCTCTTTAGCTCGGGGTAAGTTTCATACTCGAGTGTGCATTTTCTGCAGCGGGGCATCTGTTTGAAAATATAAAAATATTGAAAGACATTTAAAGATGAGGGTTTATTTTATTCTTCAGTATAACGTTTGGGAATGTGTTTGACTCTCTCGGGATTTCTCCTAGATATGGGTTGTTGAGTCCAATCCTTCATAGCCAGACCCTCATAAGCCTTTAACCTATCTAAGTGCACTACTTTAGGAATGGTCAAATAGATGGATGGTCATTCATTCATCTAAACATGGATGGCCTCATTCACAATATATTCTTTGTCAGGGATATAGTTACTATACTGTACTCACGTTTTTCAATAATGTCCGTGCCCGCCTGCTATAGCAGCTCCTCCTGGCCCCCGACTCCTTCTTGTGACTCACTACAGTTTTCTGTCCACCTTTCTCCCTTTTCCTTCGTTCCTCATTCACCTCCCTCTCTAGAGCTAGTTTCCACTGCTATCTCTTTGGCCTGCATTAATGTAAAAAGTCTGCCGAGCCACCTTGCCGGTTGTCTTCTTGATGTTTGGTTTGAGAGTTGTGCGAATGTCACATTTTGAAAATCGATTGACCTCTTCAGAAAAAAAAGACACAATGAAATCAACAATTTAAGACAACTAATACAGTAGCACTTATCAAACCAGAAATATTATTACACTTAGTCAGTCGATGAGGAAAAATGAAAAACAAAGTGTTCAGTATTGTCGAGCTACCTTATCAGTTGTTTCCATTTTTGCCATTACCATCCCATCTGCAAAGATGAAAAAAAAAAAAAAGAAGTATCCAAGACAAGTCCAGAATAGACTAGATCTATAGGTCTACAGAAGTGTGCACAGTTGCACATTTCTGATTTATCTTCTTATTAAACTCTTGGGCGCTGAAGCAACTCTGGCCCCCTGGAGTTCTGAAACAGCGCATGACACACTCTGAAACAGATAATCAGAGAGCATCTTGTGATCTTATTATGATAAGGATGTGCTTGCCCGGCCAATATGTATTTGACCAGTCTTGCCAGGTGCAATCGGGACATCCATTTCCCGCATCTATTTTAACTAAGTATGATGTATTCGTACTTTGTAGCTCAAAGGTGTTAACGCTTTTTGCAGTTACCTTACAGCTCAAACCCTGCGCATCTGCCCATCGCTTCATAACATGCTTTACAAAAACAACAATAATACAGGCCTCAGATAATCGTACAATAACGAATACATGATTAGAAAAACATCAAAAGCAGTCAAAGACAGAAAACAATAATTTCTGCAACATCAAAAGCAGGTTACTACAGAAATGGAGATTCAACATTTACATGGTTAAAGAGTTAAAAAAATAATGAAATAACAACTTACATATAACAATACATAATACAATTTTTTTTTTATAGTTTCTGGTTAAAGTTTTTAGGCTGTTATAGGCTTTTAGTTTACTCTTGATAAATGATAGTTCATAATGAAAAAGAATTGTGGTTTCATACATGCAACAGTCCAGCTCCTCTTCAAACATTTCATTCACGAGGTAAACCATGTAAATGAAGCGAAAGTATCGCTCCTCTTCAAACATTTCATTCATGAGGTAAACCATGTTAATGAAGCAAAAGTATCGCTCCTCTTCAAACATTTCATCCATGAGGTAAACCATGTTAATGAAGCGAAAGTATCGCTCCTCTTTGAACATTTCATCCATGAGGTAAACCATGTTAATGAAGCGAAAGTATCGCTCCTCTTCAAACATTTCATTGATGAGGTAAACCATGTTAATGAAGCGAAAGTATCGCTCCTCTTCAAACATTTCATCCATGAGGTAAACCATGTTAATGAAGCGAAAGTATTGCTCCTCTTCAAACATTTCATTGATGAGGTAAACCATGTTAATGAAGCGAAAGTATCGCTCCTCGGTGAGCTTGATGATGGCCTCATCGATATACTTGTCTACTCTGTCTGGGCACTCCGGCCACATACAGTCCTCATGGTCTTTCTGAGTGGGATAGTTGAGTCTGCATCCTGTGCACGACTGATGCACCGACTCGTTTATAAGACCCGAAAGTGCCTTGACCTCATGAGGACAGGGGCTACAGGAAGATACTGGTCTTCCTTTACTTTGTCGTTCGTTGATCCTCCTCCTCTGCCTCCATTTCCTTCTCGTAGTTAAGCTTTCTGCGAAGTTCCTGGAGACTTTGTAGGATCCTTTGTAAATCAAATCAAATCATTTATTTCCAAATTCCAACATCAATTAAAAACATGCAATAGGCAATAAAAACATAAAACTATAACATTTCAATCAAACTATTAAAGAAGAAAACAAAACAAGTATAGCAATCAAAGAGAAACAAGGTACAGGCTACATTAAAAACATAAGTGGATAATTGGAAAATGGTGAACACAATAAAAGCCAGGTTTTGGGCTTGTTAGGATGTGTTCACCTAGTTTTTAGGAAAGTTTACCTCCATCAATCGAGGAGGTCGCTGGAGATGGAGATCTGCTTGTTCCCCTTGGAGTAGTCAATCCTGGGTCTAGGATTGCATTCTGCCTCCGCGGTCGATGGACAACCGGGGCTCTCAGAAGAGAATATCCGATGATCATGACTTCAGGGGGGGTGTTTCACAAAGATTTCTATTTAGAAATTGAAATGAAAGATTGAGAGTCTATGCAATCAACTTACCATTTTGCTCTGGCTGATGACGAGTACTCGATCTCGACTGGATTGGAATCTGTTAATGAAACTAGTATTGTTGTGCTTGAAATCATCATCCTTATTCATTCATTTGCTTAGTTTGTTTCTTCATATTCTTTGTATGTTCTGGTGCCGCAAGCTTGTAGTTTGAAGCACAAATATGGTCAGCTGAGATGTAGATGATGCACACGTATTAGGGCAGAATAGCTTGAAGACATCATGACTTTGTGCTTCACGCGTACAGCCGCGAGCGGGATGCATCGCATCAAATTGTACCCACTAGTTTAAAAGTCATAAAGAGTGCAAGAGAGCTGTTACACATCACTTTTTCTATCACATTACTGATTGCTGATTTCAAATTTGGCCTTGACCAATTTTCATCAATTTTCTCCTGTTAAATTGATACCCTTCTGCCCAGGGAGCATCCTGTTAGTACTCTTCATGTTGTAGTATTCTTGAATGTTCACGTGTGGACTCCTCTGAATTTCTTGACTACAGCAAAGCGCTTCCCACCCAATTGAAATGGTTTCGAACCTGCTTCAAATTCACTTTTATCCATGTTTGTCTCCTGACTAAAATGGCACCCTGCCTTTTCATGGTCTTTTTGAATGGGATAGTTGAGTCTGCATCCTGTGCACGACTGATGCACCGACTCGTTTATAAGACCCGAAAGTGCCTTGATGGTCATGAGGTCGGGTGCTACAGGAAGATGTATGTCGTCTTTCGCCTCGATCGTCACCATATCCACCTCCTGCATACCGACATCTGTGTCTAGACGGTCCTCCTCTTCAAACATTTCATGAAGGGAAAGTATCGCTCCTTCCTGTGCTGTACTGCCAGGGGTACCTTCCTTCCACAACGCTTACCCTCCTGGGTAAACTCCACTGGTTAGGCTGCTTAGGCATTATGACACAAGTGAAATAACTCTAAGCAAGACGACAACGACGAACTCACGAACGAAGCAAAAGCTAGGTAAAAATCTCAAAACGACTAGTCTAGGACAGAATCTAGCAGAGAATGGCAGATTTACCTTTTTGCAGTTTCACAAGTCTATCAAAAGTCTTGTTTTTCTCATATTGCATGAGAAGAGTTAAGCATTTGTCCACCCTACGATTAGCAAAGCCTTTGATGTAGATGTACTTTAAGACCATGTAGACTGAATACCTTGATGGATGGTCAATGAGATCATCTCCAACATTAGGAGAAACTACTTTGTGAAATGCCTCTACATACATGTTTGTGTTAATCCGAGACCCCTTTCGTAAAGCACGCCGACCATTGTTCCTTTCTCTCTGCATAACTTCTGGAATGCACCCCAAACAGACTAGTAGCATCATCCACATTCAGGTCATTTGTTACCTGCTCTAACATGGTTTCAAATTTGGTCACATCTGTTTCATGTAGCAGGCATCGCAAAGTCTTATACACAGAAGACTGTATGTAGCTCTACGTTCCCAGTAATATGAGTACGAAGTGCCCCCCTCACATCTGTTTCATCTAGCAGCATCGCAATGTCTTATACACAGAAGATTGTAGCTCTACGTTCCCAGTAATATGAGTACGAAGTGCCCCCCTCACATCTGTTTCATCTAGCAGCATCGCAATGTCTTATACACAGAAGTTTGTAGCTCTACGTTCCCAGTAATATGAGTACGAAGTGCCGCCCTCACATCTGTTTCATCTAGCAGCATCGCAATGTCTTATACACAGAAGACTGTAGCTCTACGTTCCCAGTAATAAATAGTAATACAAGTACGAAGTGCCCCCCTCCATTATTTTGATTGTTTGATATAATTAATGAAAGAACAGAGATTAAAGGAACGGCGATTTAACATGTGCCAAACGATTCACAAGCCTTTCTTGGTCTTTCCATGCACGTTGGCAAGGTCATCTAATTGTTATACTCCTTATCGTCGAATCATAACTCTCTTTGGTTGCAGTGGTCCTACCACATCCCATACCGTCTCCAAAAAGGCAGTTTCAACTGCCAGTTCCTCCTGATTTACTGAACATCTGTTTGCTTTCAAACCAAATGAATTGCACTGGCACCATGAAAGCACTTGTGGTTTAAACAGCTTCACGGGATTCAAACCCGCCCATGTACAAAAAAAATGAGTTTACAGCATACATGTAGCTACTAAAGTTTATTAATAGTATCTCTTTGTGTCATGTTTTAAATAAATTTGCACGTTGGGAGGGAGCTGCCCCTTGCACCCCTTCCAAGTGTACACCCCATATCTATAATTGTAGATCCCCCTTGTGTCAACTTTGGTTGAAATTGATATGAGCCATGCAACAGGAAAGCTCTCTCCAAACTCATCAACTACTAGAACCGTGACTAAAACAAGTTTTGAAATTTTATGAAAAATAGTTAGTTCAGTTTTGCTCAAAGAGTGATGCCGGTCAGCTGGTTCTGGTCTGCAGGTTGTTGTGGCACTTCGATTACTTGTTCTGGTTCTTTTAAATTTTGAGCGATGTTGAAGAGCACGGCACAGGCAGTTGTGATGTCGCATGCTCTTGGTGCAGACATCTGGATCCTTTGTCCCATCAGGCATATGAATTTGTTCTTCAGTTGCCCATTCAGTTGTTCGATAGTCACACGTGTTCTGCAGTGTGCCCTGTATACATAATGGTCAGAAATATTATAATGAATAAATAATCCAAAAGCCATTGTACATGCTGCATCTCTCGGGATCTTTATTACAATTACACTTAACGTTTAAGAAAAAGTATAAGTAAATATCAATATGATATATTTTATTATGTTGCCTAGACGTTTTCTTCCTTTATTACATCATTAACAAGTTTGTAAACAGCAATATTATGTGAATTTCATTACAAAGACTTGGAACTCCAATTGTATTCATTTTTTGCCATGAGTAGCATCCAAGCAAACTACATTATTTCCAAACGCTCACAGCATGTCCCTCGGTACAAGCGTCATTATGCCTAACGCAAAAGCATCCCTTGCAAAACGTATCGAAATCATCTGGACAAGGCGCCCCCTGTACCTTGTAAAGGAGGACAGGATTGCTGTCGTTATCTTCCCCTACCTCTTGCACCCACATGCCCACTAGTCGCATCATTTGCATGCCTATTTATCCCATGCAGGCCTAGCGAATGCTCAATGTTCTTGATATCCTGTTTTGTTACTAGATGGTGGCTTTCTAAACTATCAGAAAGTGAATTTCGAATGTCATCTAAGATTCTGTCTGCAGTAATCCATTGCGAAAAGTTTTTTGACCAATAGCAACGCGCTCATCCTGACTCAACTTGAAACTTGAGATGAGCCAAATTCATCTCATGACCATAATGCGGATTTACAACTATGCTATTGAATAGTACCAGTCAATATGCATGTTTTCTCGCAGATTCCAGCAGTACAGTGTCCATCAATTTTGCAGGAGCCTTGATCTTTTTGTGCACGTTTTCCAGACCCCTTAGAAGCAAAAAACCACAAGGATTACAGTAATAAGTTTGCATTCTTACCTGCTCGATGGCTGTAGCTCCCTTGGCGACAACGAAATAACATTTGTTCTTTTTC